AAATCCCTAAGAAAGAAGTGCGCATTTCTAAACCAAACGTTGTCCAATTATTTAACTGATATGTTTGAACCCTAAAATCAAGCCAAATTTGTAAATTCTGCTCATACTTGGTTTTGCATAAATTCGATATCAACCGACACAGGGGATGCTCCTGAGACAGTCAACTGGGAAGGCATTGGACTCACTGACTGCACTTGGTTAATAGGTTTAGTTCAGCTTTATTCATGGGACGATAGGCGAACGTGTTTGCGCCCCCTATTGACAACAAAGTGACTAAGCAAAGTATCGACGGGGAAAAAAAGGTCGTATACATAATTGCAGGCGAAAAGCCAGGAGTTGTTGGTTAGCCGAAAGAGTAATAATGCACGACTACTCACTAAGCACGAGTAGTATAATAGTTGTAAGTAGTTTTCCGTCCTATGGATAAGTGTAGGGCTGGTGAATTACATGTTGGATGTTTGTGCAGTTTGCTCTTAAATCTATTCACACAGGTGGAGAGAATAACGTTTTCTGGAGGAACGTTTGACGTTGTAACCACTCTGTTACTGAAGAAAAAGGTTGCGTTCATTGATCCTTGCTTTGCCTGCGCGTAGTTTTAGCGGATGACCACGCAAAGTCGGCGCGTTAGCCTGAGTAACAAAATCATGGGGGACAATGTAACAATCCAGGTCATTAATTATACGGAACGTTAATCTGAGATTTCGTAGTTGCCTGTAACAGTCCAAGACCTCTATGCCTGTGTACTGAATTCTAGTAGCCGCTGAATTAAAATATCAAAACCCACAAAGACTTGCTTAATCAGTCGCAATATATATCTAGCCGACTTCGCTGCCTTCGTGCCGTTCAGCGTTGTTTTGAGTGAAAAAGTAGTCCACACACCCGACTCTTTCTGCCTGTCAGCTTGCTGCAGCGGTGTACCGTTTAAGAACTAAACCCTTGGGTTGACAATTCCTTCAACCTCTTGCGGATGACTTTCATCTGCCGTATTTTGGACAACCTTCCACCACTTTATTTCGTCAGCGAACAGGATGACATCGCAGTCTAGGTTTCTGAGACAGTAATTGATGAAAGCAATAAGCTCATTTTGGAGTTGCGAAAATTCCCATCTGAGAATTCAGAAGACTACTTTGGCGGGCGTACGTAGGCTTCCGATAAATTTTCGTTGGGCCAATACATTTATATGGGAGCGGGGCACAAGTTAAAGAGTGTTCGTCTTTTTGCACGAGTCTTGGGAATAGGGGGGGGAGGCAGTTCGATAAAGCTGATTATGAGGGCAGAGTTTGGTGGAGCAGTCTAAGGGAGGGAGGAGTGGGGAGGTGTCCACCCGATATCCGAAATCAACCATGTACGCCAGAATACAGCTGTTTATGCTCTTGATTTCACCTTTTCTCAGCCACGCTGGGAGGTGTTCCTTCATTCTTTTGGATAGGCGCCGACCCGTGCGACCAATATAACCTGTACCACAAGAGCAAATAAAGGAGTAGATGCACATGGGGCTAGTCTCAGCTGGTGACCCATCCTTGCCTTCCTCATGTAAGATTCAGCTGGTTGAGAATAATGCCCGAACTCTCCCTGCTGGGAAGGTTCGTAAAACGACTTGGTCAAGGAGCCTTTTCAGCAGTTCATTTGCCGCTCCCCCTCGAAAGGGGACCTTAAAGAATAGTGTTCATTTTGGTTGTCACACTCTGCAGCTTTTATTTTTGTGTCCTCCGCTTGCTAGAACGAACAATCCGCGGAGGAGAAACGTCTACAACAGCGCCGGGAACTGTTCCAACAACTGCAGACCAACGCCCGCAACCGCCTCACGGGCATTAAGAACGACGGGGATTTCGGACATAAGGCCAAATCCAACGTGGCCTACAAAGGAGCTGGCCAGATGCCGAAAGAAGATGATGTCCGGAAACTGCGTATTTTTATCGGTCAGTGTTGCTTCCCTCCCTTCCAAACAACACTTTCATAATGACCTAATACAGAAGAAAAAGATGCGATCACTGGAATAAGAGTTTTATTTTCCTGACGTTTCGGATTCTGTCGAGAATCCTTAATCATAGGTCTGAGACATGCACAGATAGCGGTCAGACTCAGACTATCCTACGATTACCTATTATTAAAGATTCTCGACAGAATCCGAAACGTCAGGAAAACAAAACTCTTATTCTAGTGATCGCATCTTCTTCTGAACTGCTTCCTGGAACTCGCATATTCATTTCTATTGACAGTTCTTTGTGTTAAGTAATTCGAGGTCAAAACCATGTCGTAAGTAACTTCGAGGCAAACTCTTTGGCGTAATTATATCATATTATTAATTGAATTGAAGTACTGTAGCATGAGGTTTCTTTGGAATTGTGAGTACGGGCAGGTCGCATAGAAGACTCTTTCATCGTCATCAACCCCATGAGCTCAGTGTTACTCTCTTCCATCCGATGCCAGTACCCAATTGGAGACCTTGAAGAGAGGGCCACCTCAAAACATAGCTCTATTCATCCCGTCAGGACATGGAAGTGGTTCTTGGACCTCCGGCCCCCGGTGCTGACGAAGAGAATGGATTGAACCGTCCCTGTCTGCTGCCACAGATCGTTGCGCGTAGAGAAGTACCATCCGGGACATAATCGAGGCCGACTAGATCAGTCGTGATCGCAGCCGTCACGAGTATGAGTATGTTGTTAATTCCTGCGCGCGCGTGTTCATTCAGTACTGATACCAATGCGCGTGTGGTTGTAACCAGCCTTGCTGCACGAAGCCGCATCAACACCGTTATTTTTAGCCACGCCTCAAGTGTTGGTCGTCACTACTGTGCCACAGGTTGCAGTGTCGCGTGCTCATGGATCGCTGCCTGCTGCGACATCTACTGGGCTCTTGCTCTGGCCCAATTATAATGATAAAACAGCTGGAACCTACCGTGAGTGCATTTTACTGGGGCAACTGAAATCTTCACAACGATCTTGGATAAAAAGAAAGGAGGGGCACAGGCATCGGTGGCTGCGACCCGAGTTGGTTTGTCCTGTCACTTCGCAGCCGCCACAGCCCTAATGCGCATACTGGTAG